TTATTTTTCGGGTTGCTAATCGATGTTCGGGTAAGGGAGCATACCATTCTCATCCACTCCTCAGCTTCAACATATTTTGTAGACAGCTGTTGACGTTTTAGTGATCTGCAACATATACTTCGATTGCATCGAACTGCGATAAAATTTGGCATGTGGTCTACGGGCCACGCCAAGGTAGACATGGCACATGGCTACTACATCAAACAACCCCCACAGATACTCGAACACCATCGAGGTGATTTCTAATGGCGCACGCATTTTAAAATCCGCCAGACATGCACCAAGGAAAGGGAAAATTTGTCAGCTCAGGGCTGATTAGCTCTGGTATTAATTTGCATTGTCGTTCGATTTCATACATTTAAAATTTTCATGTCAACAACCTAAATATTTGCCAACCTGCATAGGAGCATACTCCCATCTTGAAGGTTGATTTTTGAAGCGAAATGGGGAGCCCCATTTCTACGAACTGTTCGTCTTTGCCTTTTAGAAGATTGAACGACGGCAAAAGTATATCCCAGCACAAAGAGGCAGCTTCATAATGTTTGATAGGCTAACGAGTTCCATATGATTTTTTACATACGAGCCATTTTTGAGAGCTGCGAGATTATGATATATATTCCGCCCCTATATCCTCAAAAATACTTTCATTTTAGATGGACAGAACCTGTAATGACCCTTGAATGATCTACCCTTCATAGTTATAGCAGCCTGTTGCGATCAGACAACCACGAGCATGTGAAAGACAATGTACGCACAGAACCTGAAATAAGAATCAAGATGCGGTGTCCCAAAATGAGGCCTTATTCGTCTTACAGTTTGCATTTGGGAACTAAAACACAATGAAGAACAACGGCTAGTGGGGGGAAAGTTTCTCCAGGCAATAAGTCAGCATGACATCCTCCGCCGCCAACAGATAGATGCACTACAGTTTCGAGAGGTCTATTGCGGAAGTTCGCATGTAGGAAGTTTGTGGCGTCTTTGTTGCGGACCAGCGCTTCCATGTTCCGCATGTGAACGTCGTCAGTTCTACGAGTACTGCCATTTGTCTCAGCATTTACTTGTCAACTGAGTTGAAATCGCTCCCTTTTCCTTTGTAGGGTGTATATTCCGGGGAAAGTTGCCAGTTTGGCAATATTGAATTTGAATGACGACAGCTCCAGCGTTCGATCTTGCCATTCTCCAATTTCCCCATTTGTTGATTGCCATAGACGAGAACAACAAAACGCCGATCTTTAAAGCAGCTTTAAGTGAATACAGGAAAGGAAGTGCTCCCACTTCCATATATACTGCCTACAGAGTGCGCCTCCTTTTAGATAACAGAATGATTTCGCTGACTTAGTGTAGGCCGCGTGCAGAAAATGGCCGGTTGACCGTTTTGGTTCAGTGTGTCGGCAGTTGTTATTTCTGAAGCATCGGTTTCGCCAAGCGGTAGGGTAACATACTGGACGGTAACTATTGTGACTTTTGCAAGTTACTCCTTAAGAGCTGCAAATGCTTCTATTAACTTTGATGGTAGAGGGAAAGTTCTATTGCAACTGAAGTGCTTACATTTATCTGAGAAAGGAAATATCATTTGTGGATACTGGGGGAACAATCGTACGTCCCGTTCTTTTGACTTAAGGCCATGTGAGGAAGCCATTTCGTACAAAGGTTTTCGGGTGTCCGGATCTGGTTTGATTTTGCCTTTGAACACGTCACAACCAAGATTTTAGCAGCTATGATACGTTTGGTATAATTAAAGATCAGCCTTTATTCTTCGGCCACGTTTAGAGAATTTCGGGTCTTAATGTGGCTCCACGAGTTCGTACCGTAAATTAGGATCTTGTTCACGTAGACAGAAATGTTCTTCTGGTTTTCGCGCATAATTATGGCGTCCATAGTTCGTTGAAAACATACCGCCCCGTTGGCCACACGAAATAGTATTCGGTGAAACAGGTACAAACGTCCATCAACTTCAAAGGTCGTAAATGGCTTTTCCTCTGCCCGGTGTCTAATAATAGACACATTTGAGGTTGATAGGGCTGTACGTTTCGCATTTCATAATACATTCAACCGTTTCGTCTATCCAGAAGGGGGAGAAATAGACGTCAAGGGGGTTCTGCTAGTTGATTGATGGACAGTGCTAAACAACTGTTCTGTCTTTTGTTACTTATTGGCTTCAATCGAGATTTAGGTTAGCTGTGAAAATGAGGACTGAATGATTCCTTTGAAAATAGGACGACGAATCTCTTCTAAAAGAACGTCGTATACATAGGTTTGTCTGCGAAAATTTGTCGCGATAGGCTTGCAGTCACGTGTTAGGTTAGGAAACCAGCGAGAACTCCCGGCACAATCGAAAGCCACAGAACGCTAGACAAGCGTAAATTTAGGTCCACCAAAAGTAATATCTCGACTTTTGTGGAAGCATAGGAAGTTATTACCGGGTATAACTTTGGCGCAAAACTTTGGTAAGGCCTACAACATGAGCTCATCATAAACGGCACACTTATATTTGAAAGGGACGAGGACGCGTCCCCGGTAGGACGATGGGTCAATAACTATCTTCGTGTAATGTCTGTGTTTTGGCACACACACATACATAGTGTGTATCGCTACGAAAGTAATTCAAGTCTAGGTTCTACGCGGGAGCTTGATAGCTTTTGATTAGCCACCTAAATTAGTCGCATTTTTGAAAAAAAAACAGGAATTGAGTATTGACGTCATCAATTTCCACTTTTTGCCTACCCTCGCCCTATCCAACATCATTACTAAGTCATTTTTAAGGGTATAATTTACACAAGCCAACGTTTTGGCGTGCGTGAATTATCCCCCAAAACTGGTTCCGTACTAGTTGCCATTTCCAAACGCATTCTGTGACTATACTGGAGTTGGGTATCTGCAGCTGACGACAGCTAATAAGCTATAAATATGCGTATACTGCAGTCCTAACGTTTGCCGGTAATACATTGGTTATTCAAATACTTTTTATCATTTCAAAGAACTTTAGTGTTATGTGAGTTTCTACAAATACTATGAGGTTACTGCCGGAGATAACGTCTGCAGCGCAAACTGCATCCGGTGCTTGCATTTAGTTTGTCTTTTTTGATTATGCAAAACCTTATATATCCTTTAAAAGGAGGGTTTCAGTAAGGCCACATTTCTGGCGATTATTGGCTTCCTTCTCGAGCGCCGGATTTGTCTGAGATAAAATTTGAGTCTATCTCCCTTACCATTCAAGACTTATTTCCAAAATCCGAAGCTGGTGCTCTAGCGTGAGTCAGACTGCTCGTTACTAGGCGAATAACCGTTTGTTCTACTAACCTGTCTATCAACAAATTTCCCGAGTCATTGGCTTCTTACGCGCAGTGCATTGTGATTTAGTTTCCCAACTAATGCATGTTCTTTTCTTGTGTGATTTGGAACTGACCTGAAAGCTGTTCCGCAGGGTAGCCCACTGACTTTGGCGATGTCAATTAACAAATGCAATGATAAAGCGAGAAATTTCCTGAAATCCAAACTCGCACCAGTCCATGTTTGTCTAAAATACCCAATAAAATCAAATCTTTCTTTTTGTATTATCCTGAAATCAGGGATTTGCTTGACTATGCAACTAATCTGTCTTTCAACTTCTCTTGCACCTAGGTCATGTTTGGTGTCTCTACTTCCAGTGAAACACTTTCAAATGACTACGGACATTTTGGCACCGACCATGCTTCTTTTTCCCTTCCGCCCTCATCAAACCCTCCGGTAACGGAGGAGCAGGGGGCTCTGTCCTCGAGTCCCATTCCCAATCCTGAAGAGACACAAGAGGCAGAGGAAGAGTCCTCCAAACCAACTCAGGCTGGTGAGGATGATTCCGTAGTCGAGGATGTACCCTCTATGACCCTCACTATCACTAACGTTGTCTGTATGGCCAATATGCGATGTCATTTACGCTTGAAGGAAATTGCCCGATCTAGTGTAAATGTGGAGTACAAGGCACTTCAAAATGTAAGTGCTTATTCCTCGTCTTCTTTATCTTTTCATCCCCCCTTTCTATTTCCCCACCATTTGGCTCACACTTGCAACTTGCTTAGACACTCCACTAAATACATTTATTTGTTTTACTGTGGTATTCTGGTCAGCAGGACTCATTGGGGTCGTTAGAAAGTCCGTCGATGCGGAGTCCTATAGCGTCATGCCACCATTTTGGCAGCTTTGTAGACGACACCAGACTCTACCTACACTTACTGACAGACGAAACTATGTTGATCACCGCTTAAATGGAGGTGGTTAGCTATTGGTCGTTCCTATGGAATTATCACTGGAGCTCAAATAGAATCTTTAACCTCTTGATGAGTTTTGTGGCCCTGTATCTTGCCTTCTCCATCGAAATATCCCCACT